TGACCTACTTTTTGGTAAACATACCCTGAGACCCCAAAATGCCTCAAATGACAAAGTTTGATTATCTTGAGACTTATTACTTGAAATATTCAAACTATGCCTAGAAATTCCAAAAGTAAGTCACCATGACCATCTTTTTAGGTCACCTGAGTCACTTGGGTGACCTATTGCTATCCGTTTTCATCTGTCCTCGTGCATTGTGTGTCTGGTGTTAACGTTTGAACATTTTCAGCTTCTCTGAAATCACACTGAACCAATGTTAACCAAATTTGGTATACAGCATCTATGCGTGAAGGGGTACAAAAATTATGAATTGTATGGTCCCCGCACCCCCCTCCCCCCTGGGGCCTGAGGGGTGGGGCCAAAACCACTAAAATTAATGAAGAAATCTTTAAAAGCAATCTCCTTTACTCCATAACATCAAGCAGTCAAACTGTTGGCATGAATGTAATGAACATTGAGTCCTGTACCAAAATTATGAAATTCATGGCCCCAGGGTCAGGGGTTCTAGTGCTTGGGCGGGGCTATATAGATTATATAGTGAAAATGCATTAAATCTTTGAAAATCTTCTTCTCTGCTCCTGTATATTAAATAAACCAATAAAGTACATAGTTGTGATGAGCAAGAGTGCCTCTTCCAAAATTGTGAATTAAATGGCCCCTGGGTCAGGGGTTCTGGTATTAGGGCAGAGCTCTTGATTATATAGTGAAAATGCATTAAGTTATTTCTTTTAAAATCTTCTTCTCTGCTCCTGGGTATTAAATAAACTTACTTAGTATATAGTTATAATGAGCAACAGTGCCTCAACCAAATTTTTGAAATTCAAATTTGTGAATTTCATGGCAGGGGTTTTGGTGTAAGAGGGTGGGGGTGGGTCTCTTTTGATTATATAGTGAAAATACATTAATTCTCTGAAAATCTTTTCCTTTGCTCCGTGGTATTATGCCAATGATTTAGGTTTATATATTTATGTCGAAAAAAGGTGCATCTTGCAAAATGGTTAATTTCATGCCCCCTGGGTCAGTGGTATCGGGAGGGGGGGGGGGGGGTTACATTAGTATGAAAATAAATTAATGCTTTGAAATCTGCTTGTTGATATTAATCAACCATTTTTGAAGAAATATAATTTATTGATAAAATTTCCAAAATTTTAAAATATGTGGCCCCAGGGTCAGTGGTTCCTGTGGGGTGGGGTGCACAACTGGTTATAAAGTGGAAGTGTATTTTCTCTTTGTTACTCTGATCTACCTCTGGGTATTAAGTAACTAGAGTAAGCAATGTTAAGTGTATAATTATGATAAGCATTGGTGCCTCTTTCAAAATTGTGAATTTCATGACCTCTTGTTTAAAACATGAACCAAATTCAATTGTTGGGAAGTTGTCACATGATACTCAGGTGACCTATAAGGCCCCTGGGCCTCTTGTTATTTAACATATTCTGAGGACCCAAGATGCATCAACTGAACAGAGTTTCTTAGCTTAAAAGTACCTGAAACATTTTAAAATTTCCAAAAAAATTTCAAAAGTAGTCACAGCGATCTATGTTTCAGTTGACCTTCTCTGAAGACCCAAGATGCACCAGCTGACAAAGTTTGATGATTTTCAGCCAGATAGGACTGAAGATATTTAAATATAGCTATAAAAAACCATAAGTAGGTCATGGTGACCTACTTTTTGGTTGAAATTTTCTGAAGACTCAAGATGCATCAATTGACAAAGATTGATGATTTAGGCAAATCAGGACCTGAAATATGAATACATGTACAGCCAAAAAAAAAAATTAAAATAGGTCACTGTGACCTACTTTTTGTTGGACATTCTCTAATGACTTAAGATACATCAATTGACAAAGTTTGATGATTCTACACCAATAAGTACCTGAGATGCTTGAATATAGTCATACAATTTCAAAAGTAGATCACTGTGACCTATTTTTTGGGTCGACATTCTCCGAAGACCCAAGATGCATCAACTGACAAAGTTTGATGATTCTAAGCCAATAAGTACCTGAGATATTTAAATATAGCCATAAAATGTCAAAAGAAGGTCACTGATCTACTTTTTGGTATACATACATGTACTCCAAAAATTTAAGATCCCTCAACTGACAAAGTTTAATGATTCTAAGCCAATAATACTTATATTTAACATTTGTAAAATGTCAAAAGTAGGTCACCATGACCTACTTTTTAGTGGACATTCTATGAAGACCCAGGGTGCATCAAGTTTGATGATCATAGGCCTGAAAGTATTCAAAATATGCCATTTTAAAATTTGAAAACAAATGCCTGCTAAAATTTAAAAAGTAGGTCACTGTGACCTAATTTTAGATAAAAATGTGTTAAGGGCCCAAGATGCATCAACTTACAAAGTCTGATGATTTTAAATCTCTCAGTATCTCAAATAATTGCTGTAAAAGTTTTAGAAGATATAAGCCATCAAATTCAAAAAGTAGGTCAAGGTGACCTACTTTTAAATTGTCATTGTTCGAGGACTCAAAATGCACCAACAGACAAAGTTTGATGATCATGGGCATTAAAGTGTTCAAAATATGCCTCCAAATCAATATGAAATCAAAATTCAAAAAGTAAGTCACCATGACCAACTTTTGAGTAAACGTGATGTGAAATCCTAAGATGCATCAACTTACAAGATTTGATGATCCTGGTCTTTATAGTAAGCTAAATATAAACGTTTTTATAAAGTTTAATTTTTGGTCAACTTTCAAGTGACCTTGAGACCATGCCCTTTGCCCCAGGGTGATGCCTTGAAATTTTTTGTTTATCTTCAACATATCCTCATTATTGTATGTAAGTTTGGTGATAATCTTTCTGGTGGTTCATGAAAAAAAATTTTTGGCAGGCAGTACCTTTGGTTTTATTTTCCTGATTATCTCCCCTTGCTGAAGGGTCCTAACCCTAGTTTTAGTAAAAATGGTAGCCCTTGGGCCAAGGATACCAAGTGACAAATTTGACAATGATTGGCCAATGGGTTGTGAACCACTGACCCTGGGGACACATATTTCAAAATTTTGGAAATTTTATCATAAATTTTATTACATCATAAATGGTTGATCAATACCAAAGAGCAGATTTCAAAGCATTCATTTATTTTCAAACTATGTAACCCTCCCTCCAATACCCCTGACCCAGGGGGCATGAAATTAACCATTTTGCTAGATGCACCTTACTTCATCATAAATATATATACTTGGATCATTAACGTAATACCCAGGAGCAAAGAAAACGATTTTCAAAGAATTAATGTATTTTCACTATATAATCAATACACCAAATGGCAAAACCCCTGACAAAAGGGCCATGAAATTCACAAATTTGGTTGAGGCATTATAACTATATACTAATTAAGTTAGTTTATTTAATACCCAGGAGCAGAGAAGACGATTTTGAAAGAATTAATGCATTATCACTGTATAATCAATGGAGCCCCATCCTAACACCAGAACCCCTAACCCTGGGGCCATAAAAATCACATTTTTGGAAGAGGCACTCTTGCTCATCATAACCATGCACTAAGTTAGTTTATTTAATTCCCAGGAGCAAAGAAGATTTTCGAAGATTTAATGCATTTTTACTATATAATCATTAGAGCCCCACGTAACACCAGAACCCCTAACCCTGGGGCCATAAAATTCATAATTTTGGAAGAGGCACTCTTGCTCATCACAACTATGTACTTAGTTCATTTAATACCCAGGAGCAGAGAAGATTTTCAAAGATTTAATGCATTTTCACTACATAATCAATAGAGCCCCACCCTAGCACTAGAACCCCTGGCCCTTGGGCCATGAATTTCACTGTTTAGGTAGAGGACTCAATGCTCATTACATTCATACCAACAGTTTGCCTTCTTGATGTCCAGGAGTAAAGAAGAAGATTTTTAAAGATTTCATTAATTTTAGTGGTTTTGGCCCCACCCCTCAGGCGGGGGCGGGGACCATCAAATTCATAATTTTTGTTCCCCTTCACCCATAGATGCTTTATACCAAATTTGGTTAAAATTGGTTCAGTGGTTTCAGAGGAGTTGAAAATGTTCAAATGTTAACACAAGACGGACGAAAACAGATAGCAATAGGTCACCCGAGTGACCTGAAAAGTAGGTCAGGGTGACCTACTTCTTGAATTTGCAGAAAGTACTGCCATGCAGAAACAGTGCAGAGAAAACACTGCACATTCTAAATAGCACAGATCCACCTTTTACACTTCAAAATTATGTTGTATGACCAGACAAACTATTTCGAAAGAAGTTCAAATGTCAACTTCAAAGGTCACCTTGTCATTAATTATGGTCTTTTCCAAAAACAAATGTCCCCTGCAAAATATCAAAATTTGAAACAGTTCTCTTAATATTTGGTGTGACAGACAGATGGACAAACAGATTCCAGGTAAAGTGATCTTTAAAGCATAAATAATATGAGCTGCATTTTTGAAAATTTTATTCTGTTGTTAAAATGTGCTGTTTTGATAAATTTGTATGCAATTTAAAACTTTATGAGTTAGACTAAAAGAAAGTATTAAATTGTTTCAGAAAAATTATTTCTGTGCAATGGAATGTAAGTATTATATAATAAATCAATATTGTATAGGACGACAATAATGTAATTTTGCTTCAATCTAAGCACATCAATAGTTCGTCCAGTGCATATGTATGAATGGCAGAAGTTTCTAAATGTTCTTATTTTCTATTACTAAAATAGTACATTAAATTTTTTCAACAAAATTTCCGACATCAAAATTGCAGCTCAAATTGCATTGTGTGCTCTGCAGGTGACGCAAAAACTACCTTAATTTTGACTTCAAAGTAAAGTAAGGGAACAAAATTCTACACAGGTATGACTCTAAAATCTTGACACTCCTAAACTACATTCCACTTTGATGGATCCTTTTTCTGTCCTAGTACATTGACAGAAAAAATAAAGGTTTTGAGTAAACAAAAACTCTTGACATATTATTTTTATTTTTTATTCACTTTTCCGTACTAATCTAACTACACAACAAAAGGAAGTGAAAAAAAATCGAACAATTAAAAAAGAAAAAAGTCTGCTGAATTTTTAAAAAGAGAGCATCAAACCTTATACATGTACAGGTTAAGTATCAACATCTTCATCAACAGAAAAATGATTAAAAAATACAAACGAAAAGACAACTGGGACTGATAACGATATTATATATTTTACACATGTCAAGAAAATTACAAATTCCTCATGGCAGACTTACAGTCTTCAAATTACTTTGGAAACATTGAAAGTTCTCATCAGATAAAAACAAGACTAAATTGCTTCCAAGCAAATTAAAAAAGAATGAAAAATGTACTTTTCTTCTTTTTCAAAAACTGAAAACATTCTAATTATCAAATGAATAGTTTCAATGCATTTTATCAATATGAAAATTGACTGGGATACTAAATGTTTAAAGGTATAAAATGTAATTGTGGTCAAACTTATTTCTACGCACTCTTTTGGCATTTTCATGTATTTTGCTTTGTATTAATGATTATTCCCCAAAAATGACAAACATTCCACAGAAGGAATACCAATCACATGTACATATTATCTTGCTTCTCCTCAGAATCAGTTCAATCTATATATTTCCATGAAAGGAATGCAAAATTGTCCATCTTATAGCTTTCTGTAAACAACAAATGATGTTACATTTTTTTTTTAAACAATGTTTACATCATTTTTCCTTCTTACACAACTTAATGTACCACCAACAATCTGAAAATAAATGCAGCTTTGTTTCTTTTAAAATCTATGCATTAAAGAAATACTGGTACTATTGTACAGTACAATATTCTAGATAAATTTGTCCATGTTAATTTCTTATGAGTATTTAAAATCAGACCAAAAAAAAAATAGTTTGTATAATTATTTACATGTACTTGTAACACAATATGCTCATCTGCATTAATCAAAATCAAAACAACAAACACATATTTTTTATCTTGCTATATTTTCTCCTATTTCAAAGGTTATAAAACAAACTGAACAAATTTTGAAACCATTAAAATAATAGCATTTTTAGAACTACTTATAAACATTTATAAATCCTGTACAACTCTTTACATAAATCAGAAAATGACTGACATTAAACTTATGTGAGAGAGTTGAGTTTTCTCAAAATATTGGCACTGACAGTAATGTGTAGCAACATGAAGGCAGAAGATTCACCACAGCCAAACATCATAATCTTCATCTTCCAGGTAGTCTGGTGCATCATCACTCCATAGTCCAGAGGCGTAATCATCTTCATAGGTGTATCCACTGCCATCATCAAAATCATCTTCATCTTCCTCGTCTTCGTCATCTATTGGATAGTGGATGTCATAGGTGGCCCTGCTGCGACATGAGAAGAATTTGCAGTGGGGACAATTGAAGTGGCATTTGGTGAGGTTGCTAGGTAACTGGATCAGACAGGTGGCACTCTGTCGCAGAGGTTGGGGAAGTTCCTGGAGATTCTTCCATTTCTTCTCAGCATAATTGAAACAGAATGTTGTGGATATGGTCTCTGGGGCCTTGAAACCTTTGCCACCAATGACATAAAAGTTGCTGCCATCAGAAATTGTGCTGTATTCAACGTTTTCAAAGGGTTTCGTTGGGAAAGGCAAAAACTCCTCTTTGATATGCTTCCACTTTCGCGCTGTCATTGAGTATTTTGTGTATGAACACTTCCCCATTCTGGTCACGACAAGCTCGTCTCCAACAGGAATCAGTAAATTGTCCCAATAAGCACCTTTGGATTGATCATACTTTCTATTTAAAGCAGTGTCATATACATAAAATTTGGCACTCTTTCCTCTTCTTTTGGGATTTGCTCCCACTTTGTTGGCCAACACACAGATCTTCCTATCCTGCATAACACATGCCACCAAATGGGAGTTTTCATTTCGTTGAAACAGAGTCTGCTTGACTTCACATTTAGAATCATCTTCTTTCACTTCCATAACAAAGGTGCTCCACTGGTGCACCAGCTGTGGACCAAACTGGATGACATGACTGGAAATTATGGCATACAACTTTCCTGCACATGCTAGAATGGTGTGAAGCGTGTTATTCCCATAGTTTTCTGGAACTTCTAACAGAAAACTTGTCCACTTGTTTTCCTTCAAATCAAACTTGTAAACAGAGACTTTGGTGGAAAATGTTTGGTGTCCATTATCAAAAACATACAAGCACTTACTCTTTGAACAGTATGTTATTGTTGCTTGTTTCATCTGGTAAGGGAGAGGTGCTAATTCAATCCACCTGTCCTCTGCCAAAATGTATCCTAGCAGTGTGTTAACAGCCATGGACTCCCTGAACGGAAACAGATGGAAGATGTTCTCAAACATGATCTGACCACAGCCCCCTGCCACCAGAATTGCCTCCCTTACTCCATCATCTTCTTTGATGAGTCCTGTTATGTACTTCATTTTAGTGTTCAAGACATGAACCTGACATTTTTCATTCTTTGCCACCAGAGGGTAAGTTTCAATCTTCTTCTCTAGAACAGTCTTTGGAATCTTCTTCAAGTCAAGAGAACAAAACAAACCAGAGAAGAACTCCTCTCTATTCTCTTGATCAAATTCCACCCACTTCAGAATGAACTCAAAGAATTGCATTTGTTCTACGTAAGACAAGGTCTTATCAGTAAGCAGTGACATCACCGATTCTGAGGTCAAGGTCAAGGCATCCTCCTGTTGCATTATCTCTGGCAAATGTCCTCTTAGGAATTCAAATACTTTGTTGTAATATTCTAAGTTATACAGGCTGCACAGTAAGCACATTTGGACGCAGTTCTCAGCAGTCATACTAACACTCTCTAAATAACTTTGACAGCATGCTTTCAAGTCTGCAATCTGGAAATAGTCGGCCACTTCCAGAATGTCCTTGACTGTCTCATAAGATATCTCAGCTGTCCCCATGTAAAGGAAAGAAATCGCCGTCCTTACTGCAGGGACTTTGCCAATCTGAAGGTGAATCTTGCCTGAAAGAAATTATGAAATTCTTAATTTTTTTAATATAAAACTTGTTTCTAAAAGTGTTTCCAAACATTTCAAATGACTACTAAATCTTCTTCCCCTTAATTTTTAGAGAAAACCAGATTAACTTTAATTTTCTTCGAAATATTCAGTTTCAGACTCGCATACTCTAAACAATTGGTACAGATAGTTTTTTTTCCATTATGTCAGTAACATTTGGCTGGTATGCAGAGTTTCTACTTCCATGTGGAAAATGTTTTCACAAAAAAAAAAAAATACTCAATGCCTTCTTATAATTTTCCTTAAAAAAATGACTTGAATCAACTACACACGAAAAAGAGGTGCAAAGTAAATTAAATTTTTTAAATACAGTAAAACTTGTTTTGTAAGAACACGGATATTGCTAATTCATGGATATAGCGAAGTTATCTTGAATCCCCAGCTATATAAATTTAACAAATTCCTTATACAGATATAACCAATTACGGATATAGCAAAGTAATTTTATAGAGTTTTACTGTAGTGCTAACTTCAGCGATTTCTTTATTTTAATTTTAATAAGTGATTTCAGACAAACCTAGAATCAAATGCCTGAAAGGCTTCAATGGCATCGAATATGAAAAATTAATTTTCTAAAGATCTTTTTGAATTTGATATAGCAACAGGTCAATTTAGTTACTCAGGTAACTAAACATAGGTAATCAGAGATTACAGAGCTCACCTCAACGAATGTTATCTTTAAGTAAGGCAAAGTCACACAATTAACCAACAAAAAGTATACATTCCAAAAATGAAAATATTTTTAAAAGCAATTTTGATCTGATACTTTGAAATAGACCTACATAAAAAATTTTAACTACTTCTTCTTCATGAAAATGTAATGAAAATCCAGCATCTGAAGCAAATTTGAGAGTTTTCATCTCTTGATGCAGCATTTGTGAAAGTTTGGTTTATACAATGTTATATAAGCCTTATAGTTTTTGGTAATAGACCTGCAACCATAACTTTTACCTTGTCTATTATCTGAAAAATGTATGTCCAATTCAGCATCCGAAGCAAGTCCATTAGTGTGCATCCTTAGATGTATCATCCATGCAAGTTTGCTCATTATAGGGCTCATAGTTTATTGGAAATGAAACATGCATTAAAACTAACATTTTCACTCATCCACAAAAAGTAGGTCAGATTCAGCTTCCGAAGCAAGCCTGGAAGTATGCATCCTTAGATGTATCATCTATGCAAGACTGGTCATTAAAAAACTCATAGTTCCTTGGAAATGAAACCTGCACCAAAAACTTTTAACTATTCACTCAACCGGAAAATGTAGGTCAGATTCAGCATCCGAAGCAAGCCTGGTAGTGTGCATCCTTAGACGTATCATCCATGCAAGTTTGGTCAACATAGGGCTTAAAGTTACTTGCAAATGAAACCTGCACCAAAAACATTAACCTGTTCGCTCAACTGGAAAATGTAGGTCAGATTCAGCATCCGAAGCAAGCCCGGTAGTATGCATCCTTAGATGTATCATCCATGCAAGTTTGGTCAACATAGGGCTTATAGTTACTTGGAAATGAAACCTGCACCAAAAACTTTAACCTGTTCACTCAACTGGAAAATGTGGGTCAGATTCAGCATCCGAAGCAAGCCCGGTAGTATGCATCCTTAGATGTATCATCCATGCAAGTTTGGTCAACATAGGGCTTATAGTTACTTGGAAATGAAACCTGCACCAAAAACTTTAACCTGTTCACTCAACCGGAAAATGTAGGTCAGATTCAGCATCCGAAGCAAGCCCGGTAGTATGCATCCTTAGATGTATCATCCATGCAAGTTTGGTCAACATAGGGCTTATAGTTACTTGGAAATGAAACCTGCACCAAAAACTTTAAACTGTTCACTCAACCGGAAAATGTAGGTCAGATTCAGCATCCGAAGCAATCCGGGTAGTATGCATCCTTAGATGTATCATCCATGCAAGTTTGGTCAACATAGGCCTGATAGTTACTTGGAAATGAAACCCACACCAAAAACTGCACCAAAAATGTTAACCTGCTCCAAAAACATTAACCTGGTAATTCCTTTGCTGAAATTGCAGCATCTGAAACTTTGTCTGGTACAATAAAACACACTAAAACCATTTTCCATGCATGTCTAATCAGTATAGGACACAGAAGTAATTAAAAAGAAAACTGCTCCAAAAAACTTAACCTTGACCTGGGACGCCGACGCCGACGCCGACGCCGAGGGTATCACATAAGCTCCCCCCAACTTCGTTGAGGTGAGCTAATAAAAAATCGTAATTTTGAACAAAATGTAACAATTGCACCCTGTCAGAGGTCATCATAGTCCGAATAAAGCAGGGTTCAAATTGGCTAGACGCCGTTGAACAATCACTCTTTTCAGCCCCGTTGAAGAATTATGAAGGATTTAAGGTTTCATCAAAGTTCAACATGTCCAAAAATTTATTTTCAAAATATCTCCAAAGCAATGTGAGGTTTAAAGTTAAAACTTTTAATAATTTATAATTACATCATTGTTTAACAGAAAGAAAGCATCACTTGAAAACAAATATTTTTTTGAATAAAATACTATTTATCGAGAAAAAAATATATGAAAAATTTGCTTATTTTGAAAAAATGCACCTGCTTAATTCTGTACTTTTAGTGAAAACTATCATTGATCAACGTAAAGAAGTTTTCTTGATAAATATTTTTATTCAGTATTTGTTATCAAGTGGTACTTTCTATCTGTTAATCAATGAAATACATAAATTTATAAACTGTAAAAAAAGTCAACTTTATTTAAACCACATAGTTTTGGGGCTATTGTAAAAATAAATTTTTGGACAGGTTGACCTTTGATGAAACCTTTAAAATTTTTCAATATTATTCTAATGGGGAACCGGAGTCGGTTATCTTATCTTGTATCGGTAGGGGGCGCCACAGGAAAATGCGGTCCATTACAAAAGTGATAAAACCTGTGAAGATGGATAATCAGCATCCATTCTCGAATACGATATCGGAAAGCACACACGTTTCAGTTACAATCCTTAATTTACTATGGCATCTAATTGTGGTGATATGACTATACCTGAACTTAAGAACGAGTTAGAAAAGTTTGGAGCAAAGAAATCAGGAAGGAAGTGGGAACTTGTGGAGAGGTAAATAAACATACGATGTTTTCATGCAAATCCAAGTAAACATTATTAATAACACAGTAAATAATTATCAATGGTGTGTAAAAGATTAACATTAAGTCAAATTGACAGTAAATATCAGAATTACCTCGTTTAAGAAACTAATTCTTAAATAATCTGCAACTTTAGCGTGTTAGATTTTTAACTTGAATTTCCTCGGTAATTCTAACATCGATCTCATATTGCTTGGTGCTTGCAGTAAAATAAGAATACTTCTCTACATTTTTATTATGAAGCAGTATTATTATTTCCTGATTGTTGCAGCTATGTTTCACTCAAAATATACATGAAAAAGAATTAAATATGCTTATTTTATTGCAGACTTGAAGCCTACAGAAGAAATGCACATTGTGCTAAGACCGATGTTTATGGACCTGAATTTATGATGATGACGCCAGATCCACAACTCTACAAGGACCTTCATGGTGACAAGACCTTTCCAGGTTGCACAGAGGCAGAAATTTCCACTTTCTTGTCGAAGTTTAATAAGACAACTGATAAGAAAGGAAGGGATATGTACAACGATGGGTTTATCCAGTATGTGAGGGTGACATTTCATGATTCAAATTGGTTCGTTAGAAGTAGTGTAAAAGCTTCAATGATGAAGTCTGTGAAATATGTTGTTGACATTATGATAGGAAAAGACAGAAGTGTTATAGAGTCTCAATGTGAATGTGCGGCAGGCATGGGACCCGATGCACATTGCAAGCATGTCTGTGCTGTACTTTTTTCATGTGCAAAATGTTGGTGTATTTATTTGAATGTTCCTGTGTACAAACATATCCTGCACATTGAAACCTTTGTCCGCCATTATTGAATCTCCAGAATTGCACATTTCTAACAGCCTACTTCTTTCAACTATTTGACGGTCACTTGTGGATCCCCCATAAGCTGTAGAAATATAAGATGTTAATCCACCTGGTGTCGCTCCTACAAGAACTTTTACCGTGTTACGGTTTTTATAGGTAGAATACGTTGCTTGCTGTGGCTTTGGTAACTTTGGTCTTTTAATTGGACACTCTGTGCCATCTATTATCACTCTAGTATTTGGAAATTTTGTTTTAAAATCTGATGGACAGTAATATTTTACAAGATACTTTGTAGGCCAAATGTCGATTTCCTGCCATTGCTTACTCATGAATAAAATCCATGTAAAAAATATATTTGATACAGTCTTTTCGGAAACTCCAAATAATCTTGAAAGTTCAAAATTGGTCGTATGGCGCCGTAACTTGCAGAGGACTAAGAAAAATTGGTCAGGAACACTTATGTTTGAAACCTTATGATAAATATAATTCAAACAGTGAGCTGCGGGTCCTAAGGTTCTTAAAACAAAATAAAATTTAGTAAGAGTTTCCAATCCAGTATAGAAATTTACTCCGGCATCATCATTTGTAAAGTTTTCAATACTCATTGGGGGATACCGAGGAGTTTGTGTCTGTACATCAAAAAATTTAACGTCAGATTTCTGAACAGTGACTTGAATTTCTTCAGCCAAAATTTGGGTAGAGTTAGATACAATTTCCTCGGATACTTGCAGATCATCAGCTGATGTATAGATGAATTCATCTATGGAAGACGAAGCAGAAAATTCTTCTGCTAGTTTTCGTTTGATGCCTCTGGACTTGGCTCTGTCGGCTCGTTCATGTGAATGTGGACTTGGCTCTACCCAGGGAAAAATGCTTGGCACTGCAGTTTTCTTCAATCTTTTACTTAAAGGAGTAGTTCCTAAGAATTAAATTATTTAATATATCAATACTTGTTCATAGTACTAGATTATTTATTAAATAATTAATTTATAATTTGAACTAACTTTTTAAAGCAAATAAAACAAATATAAATTTACTAAAATATTTCTATTATTACAAGTATTATTGTTATAAAATTGATGTTACAAAACATGCCCATGTGTTTATTAATTCAACTAAACAGGTCAAATTTGTTTTTAAGCAGGGTGCTAATTAGACATCAATGTCAAAACACAGTATCTTGTACTGGTAGATATGCATAAATTGTCAGGCAACAGCATGTGTTCTTTTAGACATGCCTTGTGTTTATATTGTTAAAAGATAATGCGTTTGTAATAAATGACCAGTAATTGAAGTTGTCAGTGGGGAGTCTGCATGTGGCAGTGTCTGTAACGTTATCAGATTACTTCGTATGAGAGGTAAACAAGGGATTCGATATTTTAGTGCATTTCATCTAAGCAAATAAGGCATAAACATTGCTCAGAATAAAATCTATTAACATTACTTTGCACATGCTTATCAAAGATTTCAAAATAAATAAATAAATATTGTTACCATGCTGGGTTTCAGTCAAATAGTCGTCTGATTTAAAATGCGCTCTGCAAACAACAGCATGAGTTGACGGAGTCCAGCTTTGAAAACGAGTTTCACCACGTTTTATTGCGTGTATCCATGCTTTTCTTCTTAACGGATCTGTTGGAAATATATGGCCACCCCGATTACTACAATTCGGCACACAACAACAAGTTTCAGGCATGTTTTACGAGCATGTGTTTGACAGCAGATTGTTTACGTTTTTCTTCGATCGGTAACTACTGATAAGGCGCGAGGGTGTTCCGATACAGGACCGTGTTTGCCTGTGGCGCCCTCTAAAGAAAAGATAATCGGAGCAGGTTCCTAATTGTCAAAGTCTGCACATTTCTTTAGTGCATCTAAACAACAACCATGACTGCTTTACTATGATTACGATCGAATTTTGATCGGGTGTGGCATACAGAATATTGTGAATTAAAGGAATTAATGGTGAAGCACAGTAATCACTCCAGCTTTTAAGATCAAATATTTTAACTGGTAATAAAACTGAAAAGATAATGTTGAAATTTTATCTAGAATCCAATATTTTTAAATATTGTCTAGTATTCGTGGGTATGTTTTGATTATGTTACTGCCAATTGGGTTGTTTGTGTTGCATTGTAATCCTTCCGAAATGTTAATCATGTCATTCCACACATCCGTTCTTTTATAAATTCATCTGCAACAACTATCGTGTTTTTCTTGTGATTAAATAAACATAGTATCTTTGTTTTGTAGCAAAATTAATTATATTTACAATTTATGCATTTCTAATTTCACGATTTCATTCATTGTGAACATTTTCAAAGAAATTGATGTATTGCTATTGTTATTTTCTTTTGCGGATGGATCAACTGACACATTTGGTCGCGTAAATCTGTACGATACCTAGATGACATTCAAGCTATTGCTCGATGCCATAAAAACACATAATTATGATAATACCAAAATACACCAATGTCCATTCTGAAACAAATACCTGAGGTTTTTTCTTTCAAGCCACTGTCATAGAGAGATTGGAAGTAGGGACACAGCACTAACACATTCCAATGGGCACGGATTTCCTAAACAGAAAACATATCAAAAGTGATGCATCCAACATCAGAACATAATCAGAATATCTGTGTTGCTCTATTGTAATGTTATAGTCAATAATATCATTGCATTACATTCTTTTTGTATGATTTCAAATTCGAATTTCTCACTTAAAATTATCTTATATGTGGAAATTTAAACAAGACGCAAATTTAGCGATTTGTCCTTAAAATATGGTAATCTATAGTTAGTGAGGAGTAAATTTAGCGATTTTAAAATGCTTACTAAAAGAGCTATAACAAATTAAACACAGTTTATTTTTAGCGATATTTAATATTAGCGATCTCAGAACCCTTGCTAATAATGCCAAAATTAAATCCTCGCTAAAAATTCTGCTTATACGGTATTTGAAGAATGTCGTACTTGTCTCTTCAGTAACACTTAATTTAAATCAAAATGTTATGCAGACTTGCTCTTTATTATTACATGAATAGATATATTATTAATGAAAACAATTTCTTCTCCTTGCACAGGCATAAAAATATCAAATATAAGATACTTTTATAAAACCAACATGGCCTCACCAATTCCTGAATTTGTGATGTGTTGGTTACCATCTCATAATTTTGGTACAGAGCATATTGTTCAGTCTAATCATGTTAACAATATGCTTCCATGTTGCTTAGAAATGCAGGTGAATGAATAGTTATTTTTTTTACTTTCGCTGTTATGCCCCCTTTCTTAAGACATTTCTCATTGACAGATATTTTATGACATTGCGGGGCTGCATTCCAGTTTATAGTAGCTAGCCTAGCTGCTTAGCTAAAGATTTAGGTCTAAATCAATGTAGTGTATGACTGAATACTGTTATGTTTTGGCTAGCATGTTTAAGATTGTATCTCTAGCCTCTATATATTAAGCTATATCAACATACTAACATTAGATGACAGTCTGTTTTATGTTAGAATTGAAGGAGATTCATCAGTTTCAGCTTCTTACTTTTTTTTTGCTACATATATAATTATTATGTAACAAGTACAGAATTATTAACTAAGCAATAAACAGATATTTACCATTTCGCAATATTTATCATGTTTATAAACTGATATTTACCACTTGCTCAACAACAAGAACAACATCACACAACTCTGAGTTTGATAACATCTGATCATGTAGATGATTCTGAAGAGACAGCGCATGTGTGGTACGACTCCCCATGTTACGGGGAAAAGGGGTATCCATGACTTCTGGTGTTCCTCTGGAAACTGAAACAAAATATAAAGTAGTATAAAGGCTGTGTTCTTGTCATAATAATGTAGAATTCTTCCAACTTTTAACTAAAATTTTATACAGGAATTTTGATATGTGTTTGGGGACATATGCAAATTTCCTCATCTTGTGAAGGACCAAACTTTTGTAGGTAATAAAAAAAATTGCAGGAAAATTAATTTACACTTTAATGTTTACTTATTTACTTCTTCTCTGTTTAAGCTCTCGATCACCAACAAACATCAACCTAGAACAATCTTATATCGATAAGTGCCAATTCAGTCAAACTTAAGTTTTTGGTAATCAAGGTTTTAAACAGCTCATTATGCAAATTAAAAAAAAAATGTTTAAAAATTCGGTTAATCTTCCTGCTGTGTAAAGAGCCAGGAACATGAAGAAGGATGACCACTTTGAATTATGATGTATTATACAAGAGGTAGAAAATGTGCAAAACAAGTTTGTTAAAAAGAACTTTTTCCTCAATAAATGTGGATATAAAAAGCTTCTGAAGCTGAAGTCTTATCAAACAGCAAATACCTATGCTGAAAATAGTGAAATGCAAATGATATTTGATCTCTTGCTATCTTAGAATTGTTACAAATGTATTATGTTCCATGCACAAATCGAAAATAAAACAAATCAAACCTATTTCATTGAAAAAATATGGAATTTTCATAAAACTGTGGCCACATTTCGTGGAGTGCGGGAAACACGAATATAAAAAATTTCGTTCCCGATAGATAAGTCGTTCAAAAGAGTGTTTGCAGAAGTACATGTATTTGAATATGATGACAATGTTTTAGAGAAATAACCGAATTAATTATATAACGGATCGATTGTTGCTGTCTTAAATCATGACTATTGATAAGAACGTTTAAAAATATCTCTACATTAATGAATATAATAATGTATGAGCTATTCATTTTATACAACATGGCGCGCATGGCGGAAAGTGAGAGGTTGAGCCCCTTTGTATATTGGGGTCAGAAAACAGACCATGTCTCGTTGAAAATTGATCTGAAGGATGTTGTTGTAAGGCGTAAAAATTCTTTTAAACATAAACAAAATATTGTATATTTAACAGAGAAGTTTTAATCCCGATGCTAGTCGCTGGTAAATCAGCTGTTCAGAAAATTCATTTTTATCATGTTTTAAAAATCTTTTTTTTAGCTCACCTGATCCGAAGGCACAAGTGTATGGTGCAGTTCCCTATTGCATCATCGCACTATTGAGGTTTGGGTTGATAATGCAATGACACAATAATGCGATGTCAATGGTGTAATAACGATGAAGCGATGTTGCAATTATGCGATGACAATGGTGCGATTAGCACTATGGAGCGATGGTGTAATGATGCGATGGTACAATAAAGTGATATTCACTTTTACTCTATTGCACCATCGTCATCGCATTATCGTGCCATCGCACCATAGCTCCATCATCGTCGCTTCATCGTTATCACACCATTGTATTGTTGCACTATCGGCCTATTAGTGGACGCTCAATGTGGCGATAGTGAACTGCATCGCCCTATCCGGATTCCATACAAGTTAGCTTTTCTGATCACATTTTGTCCGTCCTTCTGTAAACTTTAAACATTTTACAACTTTTTAAGAACCACTGTGCCACTGTTAACCGAACTTTGCAAAAAGCATCTTTGAGTAAAGGGGAGTTTAAAATGTAAAAATGAAGGGCCAAGTCCCCTCACAAAGGAAGATAATTAAGAAAAGACAATTAGGGGGGGTGTCATTATAAAATCTTCTCAAGAACCACTGGGCCAGAACAGCTTAAACTAACGTGGAAGCATCCTGGGGTAGTGAAGATTCTAAATTGTACAAATCATGACCCCGGGGTTTGGGCGGGGCCACAATAGGGAATCAAAGTTTTACATAGAAATATGTAGGAAAAAAATTTAAAAATCTTCTCAAGAACCACTGGTCCAGAACAGCTGAAACTCATGTGGAAGCATCCTTGGGTAGTGTAGATTCAAAATTACACAAATGATAGCCCCCTCGGGTAGGGCGAGGCCACAAGAAATCAAAGTTTTACAATGAAATATTTGGGTTATTTTTAAAAATCTTTTTCTCAATAACTGCTGGTACAGAAAAGGTCAAATCTATGTGAAAGCATCCTGGGATAGTGTAGATTTTAAATTGCTAAAACCATGACCCAGGAGGTAGGGCGGGGCCATAATTTGGAATCCAAGTTTTACATCGAACTATATAGGAAAAAGTCTTTAAAAATCTTCTTCCCAATAACTACTGGACCAGAAAAGCTGAAACTTATGTGAAAACATCCTTGGGTAGTTCAGATTCTAAATTGTCAAACCTTGACCCCTGGTAATAGGGCGGGGCAACAATAGCGAACCCAAGTTTTAGATTGAAATATATAGGAAAAATCTTTAAAAATCTTCTTTTCAGGAAGTGCCAGGAACTACAGGACCATAACAGCTGAAACTTATGTGAAAACATCCTGGGTAGTGTAGATTCTAAATTGTTCAAATTATGATCCATGGGGTAGGGTTGGGTCATTATAGGTATTACAAGGGGGAAAATCTGGTAAAGAACAACATGGTCAAAGCTACTCAGGTGAGAGATGTGGCCCATGGGCCTCTTGTTAAGATAATCATTCTAAAAAAATCAGATGTATGTTCAGAATGTTTCTCTTGTCACTGGCGTAAAAGCTTTAAAAATGGAAAAAATTAATGCACAGGATCCCAAAGTCGATTTGACTGAAGATGGGTTAAAGTTTGAAGCTGATGGGATTGGTGTCAGGGGCAACAACTTTTATCAGCTGGATATAGAATTTTACCATCCTGTGGATCCAGACGTAAGGAACTGTTTTAATAGTTGTGATATCAAATCATATTATATACCTATTGTCATGGATAACATCAACAGCCACATTTAAAAATACTGAGTTAACCTGCAGTCCACTATTTGATTGTTAAAGGATAGGGTCATAAGACACACTTGGTCTCTAGAGTTGCTGAAAAATGATTTAAAAAAAAGGATTTCTGGGAAATGCACAAAATAAAGTCAGGTTTAGCAACATTGTGCTAACAATAGTTATAAAATAAATTTCTTTCAGATGTTATAATGAATATTTGAAGCTTAAATTCCATTATTTCTTTTGAATCTGCAGAAAAGTAGATACAGAGTGTTGAATAGGTGCATTGATTTTTACATCCAAAAGAAGGGGAGTGGAGAAGTGTGGCCACGTCTTACATACCAAAAACTCAAGTACCCCTGGCTTAAAATTGATTTTGACAAAGTTGCCTATGAAGATGAGTCAGAGTCAGAGGAGGAAGACAAGGTATTTTTTCTCCATGTTTTCAAGTTGAATCAGTTTAATATTTAAAAATGTTACTGTAAGATATAATGATAGAGGATTTTCTTGGCGGGTGTAAAATTTGGTGCTTTGCCTGCTCAAAGATATGCCAATAATTTTGGCGTAACTTATTTTAGTGGACACAGAGTTTCAGCTCTTTGCAGATTAACACTAAGAAGAGTATTGACTATTTTAGTGATTAAAATTTTAGCGGACTACCATCAAAACACCAGAATAAGCCAAAATTAGCACCCCACCAAAATAACCCACTATACAGTACTGTTTCAGTTAATTTCGAAAGACAATATTTAAATCTGTTCAGAAAAAGATCTGAGTAATTAGGAAGATGACCATTGATTAAGTCTTTATAAATTGATAGACTGAGTACAAGCTTAAAATAAAAATTCTGTTCCATAAACTTTTTTTTGTATATGTTTTTCAGGCAAAAAATATGTCTGAGGAAGATATTTTAAAACAGATTGAGAAAGAACTGGATTTAGATGCCGCTAAAAGCCCAGGTAAAAGTTTGATTACTTTATTCGGTATTGATATGTTAGATTTAGTTAATTAGTATTCTTGCAATTGGTTCATTCTGATGGTTTGATCTTTTTAATGTTCTCCAATGGTTGGGTTCTGTTTGAATATGACTTTTAATAAGTTTTTGGAATGTTTGCATTGTTGTCAGTTTTTACTGGGGTATGCTAAAAAGCAAATGCCTTCCCTTCTCTCTATCAGTTATGTATATTTTGTAGATGTACCTGATCTGAAGACAGCATACCTGTTTTTCTACAATCTTTTCCAGTTTGTTGGTTTCACCTTCATAAGTAGTGTTCTTATTGTAAATTTCTGCAGAGATAAACAAAGTAAGTAGCTTCAGCTAAATATCTACTTTTCAAAGCTTTGAGTTTATTCTGGTGACCTATTTGCTATCTGTTTTCATACTGCCAAAATAAATGCAATCTTTTAAAAAATCGACTTTACTCCTAGACATCAAGCAGTTGAACTGTTTGCCAAGCATGATTGTATAAAATTCTTTGAAAATCTCTTCTAATCATGGGTATTAAAGTAGTGAACAATTTCTTCAACAGAACTGTGACTGGTTGAATTTAAAATGGGGCATAATTGTTTGAAAATGTGAAAGGATGAATTTAAAGCTGACATGAATTCTTAAAAAACGCAACATTTTCATCTATGTACGACTTGTTTCATAACAACTATAGCCGTATTCCGCCATATTTCTTTCAGATACCTTGTCTCATTGTAACGATGTATACCCCAATGCGCTCGTTACACTTGTCGATTTTTTGGATTGGGTATCGACTTGCGCACATCTCCGATGGTAAAGCATATGAGAACACATGAGGTGATCAAGATATTTCAAAAACAAAATAATAAACAACATAATAATCATATTTTTGAATGATTATTGATTTGAATCAAAAGAAAAAAAATGCAAGTTTGGAAGAGAAATTTATATGCATGAGTACGTATTTTTACAGTGCGCCTATTTATGCAGAATAAACTTGAAATAAAAAGCAGTAAAAATTGCAAACACATTTTGAAATTATATCATTTGAATGGAACAAAACAACCAACGTCTTTGATTTGCAGGTCCTATGCAATTGATGCATATCGAGAAAACGCCTCGAACGCTATAAACGTACCCAAACCTGGTAATAAGGTCACTGCATCGGTTCGAAGATGTGCACAAGTCAAGTGATATACACCCTGAATTCCATTTATTGAAATATGCATCACAAAAAAGAAATAAACTCCATAAAAGCTCAATAGTAAACATTACTCCGTACACACTAGCACGACGATACACTTAGTCCGTGCTGATCAGATTTTGGTAAGGGAAAATATCAAAAGTGGAAAGAGAAGTTATTTGGTATTTGCGCGGCTGAAAGGGGGGGGGGGTATCATAACTGATGTTCATAAGCTATAATTGTGAATTGTTTATCTACATGTAGTTCTAATATACATTCTGTACAAAAAAATGTATATAGTCTGCAGTTGGTTTGCGTCGCAAAATTCATTTGTCAATTATAACTGATTATTTTAGTACTAATCTCAAATCTAAACCAAGTAATTTGATGTACGGCAATAATTTACTTCAAATCTTAAAAGCAATTAATCAGGATACAAATTTTCATGTGTACATCTATACATTCTTTAACACATACACACACGGAGAAAGGCCATCCCCTGTTCAGATTGACATTTAGGCATTTGATTTTTTGGACGGGGGGGGGGGGGGGCATACAAAAATAATTGACATGACCATTATTTAAATATTCTTGAAAGACAGACATTTCTGCCGAATTCAGTTTTGAGATTTTTTTAAAATGTGTCACTCCGTCCACAAAGTATATGCATTTTGAGGAATGTAACTGTTTTATAATTATGTTGTTACAGGAAGTATTTCGAGATTTCAGTATCCCTGCCTGATAGTCTATATATAGGTATTTTTTTTAAATATATAAATAATTTCTGTAGGTGAATTTGGGAGATAATTTTAAAAGCAAGGGTAGGGATACTTGACACTGGTTGAATACGGATAATTATTATTTATTCTTTTGTATACTGAACTCTCTCTTTCTCTCTGTAACCACCCGTTGTGGCAATGATAGGAATAAAATCCTACGCACTTTGTGTTGTACCATTTATCATGCCTTAGGACAGATCAAGGATTTTTTTTCAGGCGGGATGTCGAAAGTTCATAAATTGAATAATAATTTTACTTTGGACAGGAAATTAACCCAAACGCCCAAACTGAAAGATAAACTAGACGTACATGTATTATGAGCAATGAGCTCATACCCTGCCTCCCATATAGTTATAATGGCAAAGTCCATATTTCGCTAAACCCATACGTGTCAGATCAAAACGTAAAATAGGAGGTGCATAATGGTAATATGTAATAAACTTAAGATTCTTTGAAAGTTTCATTTAATTTTCTCTAAGTGGTATAATAGGATTTGCGGATAAGAGATGGGTACCCCAAAGCGTAACAGACAGACGAACGGACATAACGATTACTATATAACCTCCCACTTTTCAGGCGGGGGATATAATTAACGTGAAATATACATCACAGGAATGGGAACATTGGGAACTTTCTCGAATACCTTCTCAAACGTATGTGTCGAACTTGGACAACAGACAAGAGAATTTTTAAAATGCTAGTTTTAGGTAGAATGTGGAATTCTCACGAGTTTACTCTCTCTTCCTATATGCTTTTTCTAATAATCATTAATTATTTATGTCTAGAAATTTAATTCACATTAAATTCTATTTTCATTATCATTGTACCAAAGAATCAAACATGTTTATTATACCCCACGCGTGAGGTATAATGTTTTTGACCCGTCAGTCAGTCTTTTTTTTTTTTTTTTTTTTTTTTTTTGGTCAGTGCAACTTCTTATAAACCACTGTATAGAGTTTTGTCAAACTTTGCAGATATTTATAGGAGACAATGTGTGTGTAGATTTGCACATCACCAGGAAATTCCGAATTCTTTATTTTTCGGGAATTTCCGCACTTTTACATTTAGATTTTGACCATATCTTGAATAGAGGTGAGCAGTTTGTCAGAGCAACTCCTCATAAACCGCTGCAGACAACTTCGTCAAACTTTGCAGATATTTAGGACACAGTGTGTATAGATGTGCATATTACAAGGAAATTACGATTCCTTTATTTTTTTCTGGGAATTTCAGCACTTCGACTTTTGGGGGAGCGTGGGGTATGTGAACGTGCTCACTTTTTCTTTCATAGTGCATAAAATTATAACTTTAAATCAAATTATATTAGGTCTAATAAAGCCAATACACAGTATTTATTTGATAATAATTGATCATAAAGAAATCCAGTCTGTTTCAGACGTTTTTTTTTACATTATTTTAATGAGAGTGTTATGCATGTTTTATTACCCCCCCCGTATATCACGGGAAAATATCATCAAAAGGTGAATGATTCGTAATAATGCCCGCTTTTTTATGAATTTGATGAAGTTAAACCATGTGCTTAATCGTAAATTTTATTTACAACATGTACAGACAAGAGTAATGTTTATTTTTGAAAAAATTACTTGCATTTTTTTTTTCAATCAACCCCACTGAGCTTTCAACCTTTGATATTTTCCCTGACCAAATAAAATGATCGGCATGGGCCACGTGTGTCCAAGCATCTTTTACTGTTGAGTTAGCAATGGATTACATGACTTCTGAGATGCATTTTTCAATAAAAGTAAAATAGGATAATTCTTTCGACATGTGCACATCCCTGTAACGATAGCAGTAGTCAGGTAAATGTTTTTATCACTGCGTTTGACGCGTTTTCTCGACCTGCATAGGTGTTTGGTGTACATGTATGCATTCCTTGTTAGTTTATTTTCTATATTGCAGCAAATGCATTCAAAAATAATTTAATTCTCGGTATAGTTCTATTTTTAGGTCACCTGAGTAAACTCAGGTGACCTATTGCTATCCGTTTTTGTCCGTCGTCGTCCGTCGTCCGTCGTGCGCCGTGCGTTAACATTTGAACATTTTCAGCTTCTTCTCTGCAACCACTGACCCAATTTCAACCAAATTTGGCACAAAGCATCTATGGGTGAAGGGGAGCAAAAATTGTGAATTTCATGATCCCTGCCCCCCTGGGGCCTGAGAGGTGGGGCCAAAACCACTAAAATTAATGCAATCTTTAAAAATCTTCTTCTTTGCTCCTGGACATCATGCAGTCAAACTCTTTGCATGATTGTAATCAGCATTGAGTCCTCCACCAAAATTGTGAAATTCATGGCCCTGGGGTCAGGGGTTCTAGTGCTAGGGCGGGGCTAAATAAGTATATAGTGAAAAAGCATTATTTCTTTGAAAATCTTCTTCTCTGCTCCTGGGTATTAAATAAACCAACTAAGTACATAGTTATGATGAGCAAGGGTGCCTCTACCAAAATTGTGAATTTTATGGCCCCAAGGTCAGGTGTTCTGGTGTTAGGGTGGGGCTCTATTGATTATATAGTAAAAATACATGATTTCTTTGAAAAATCTTCTTCTTTGCCCCTGGGTATTAAATAAACCAAGTAAGTAAAAAGTTATGATGAGCAAGAGTGCCTTTACCAAAATTGTGAATTTTATGGCCCCAGGGTCAAAGGTTCTGGTGTTGGGGGGGGGGGGGGGGGCTCTATTGATTATATAGTGAAATTACATGAATTCTTTGAAAATTTTCTTCTCTGCTCCTAGGTATTGAATAAACTAACCAAGTGCATAGTTATGATGACAAAGAGTGCCTCTACAAAAATTTTGAATTTTATGTCTCCAGCATCAATGGTTCTGGTTGGGGAGGGGGGGGGGTTATTGCTTATAAAGTGAAAGTACATGAATTCTTTGAAAATCTTCTTCTCTGCTCCTAGGTATTAAATAAACTAACTAAGTACATAGTTATGATAAGCAAGTGTTCCCCAACCAAGATTGTGAATTTTATGGCACCAGGGTCAAGTGTTCTGGTGTGTGTGTGTTTGGGGGGGGGGGCTCTATTGATTATATTGTGAAAATATGTGAATTCCTTGAAAATCTTCTTCTCTGCTTCTAGGTATTATATAAACTTACTAAGTGCATAGTTATGATGAGCAAGTGTGCCAACCAAAATTGTGAATTTAATGGCCCTATCATCAAGGGTTCTGGTGTTGGGGGGGGGGGGCTCTATTGATTATATAGTGAAATAAGATGAATTCTTAGAAAATCTTCTTCTCTGCTCCTTGGTATTAAATAAATTATCTACGTGCAAAGTGATGATGATCAAGAGTGCCTCAACAAAAATTGTGAGTTTTATGGCCCCAGGGTCAAGGGTTCTGGTGTTGGGGGGGGGGGGGGGCTCTATTGATCATATGGTGAAAATATGTGAATTCCTTGAAAATCTTCTTCTCTGCTCCTAGGTATTATATAAACTAACTAAGTGCATAGTTATGATGAGCAAGTATGCCTCAACCAAAATTGTGAATTTAATGGCCCTATCTTCAAGGGTTCTGGTGTTGGGGGGGGGCTATTGATTATATAGTGAAATTAGATGAATTCTTAGAAAATCTTCTTCTCTGCTCCTTGGTATTAAATAAATTATCTAAGTGCAAAGTGATGATGAGCAAGAGTGCCTCAACAAAAATTGTGAATTTTATGGCCCCAGGGTCAAGGGTTCTGGTGTTGGGGGGGGCTCTATTGCTCATATGGTGAAAATACATGAATTCTTTGAAAATCTTCTTCTCTGCTCTTAGGTATTAAATAAACTAACTAAGTGCATAGTTATGATGAGCAAGAGTGCTTCTACAAAAATTGTGTATTTTATGGCCCCAGCGTCAATGGTTCTCGTGGGGGGGGGGGACTTTATTGATTATAAAATGAAAATACATGAATTCTTTGAAAATCTTCTTCTCTGCTCCTAGGTATTAAATAAACTAAGTAAGTGCATAGTTATGATGAGCAAGAATGCCTCTTCTAAAATTATGAATTTCATTGCCCCAGGGTCTGGGGTTCTGGTGTTAGGGTGGGGCTCTATTGATTATATAGTGAAAAACATTAAATCTTTGAAAATTTTCTTCTCTGTCTCCGGGCCTGAAGCAGATGAACTACATATATAGTTAAGATGGGCAAGGGCCCTAATCTTGCAGAATTGTGAATTCAATGCCCCAGGGTCAGGGGTGGGGGGGGTTCTACTTATATACTGAAAATGAATTAATTGTTTGAAATCTGGTCCTTTATATATATATAAAACATTTATTTACTTTTTATAGGCAATTTTAAGGATGCCTTTTAAAAATATTATTTGTGCAACCTAGGGTCAGGGGTTTATGTCAGAGTTTTAGGGGCACTACTGATTATTTATGAATATTACTGATTAGTTGGAGTGCATTTTTGTTCCCCTACCCTGTGTATGGGTATTCAGTAACCAAGCTAAGCAACTGCTAAGTTTATTGTTATGATGATCAATGGTGCCTCTTTCAAAATTGTGAATGCCATATAGCATCTGGCTTAAAACATGAATCAAATTCAATACACTGTTACTGGAAAGTTGTTGCATAATGCTCAGGTGACCTATAAGGCCCGTGGGCCTCTTGTTTGTTGAATTTTTACTTTTGAAACGTATTTGGTCAGTTTATGGACTTCTAAAAACTTTGTTATCGGAGATGTGTACATGTCGACAGTCAGGCTAGAAAATCACTCAAGTGAAGCAATCGTACAAGGCTATATATAGCAGGTACAGGTGACCAAAAATTTTCAATTGAATATGGCGGAATCGAAGAAATATGGCGGACAAAGGCGTACAGGAATGTAGTAAGTCGTACAAAGATGAAAAATGATGGCTTTTTAAGAGTTCATGTCAGCTTTAACATTGGGCAAAGATAATCCTGTTTTATATAGTATTTCAAGCTTTACATCTACACTGTACTTATAATTAATTTTGATTGGTTACAGTGGCAATGACATCAAGCTTCAGTCTGGTTGGAAATCCTCTGATGGTTTGTCAGACAGCAGCCATCATGGAAATACTTCATCCTATGTTAGGGCTGGTCAAATCAAGTGCAGTAGCCCCTTTAATGCAGGTATAACTCAAATGTAAGATGATTGCTTTGAAGATTATGCTGTGAAATGGAAAATTTTCATGGGGTTTTAATTTTCGTTGTTTTCAAGGTGTGAAGAGACCCACAAATTTATGTCCACCATGAAATGTAAAATGTTATATATATACCTAAACAATTCTTCATTCGTGAAATAAAATCCCCACAAACCAAGAGTTTTTCCTCAAACTGCAAAAATTTGCCCCCATGAAAATATGTTATTTAACAGTTTTTTTTTCATTTTGAAGACTCTTTGAACATTTAATCATAGTGAAAAGTCCATGTTTACCTATCCAGAAGTTTACTTCATGTAATTCATAAAATTTTTAGGGAAATATTTTGTTTCTGTAAGTTTTAAAGTCATGTATTTGGCTACAAAATGAATGATTTTTTTTTCCTCCAAAAAGATTTGTGTTTAAATTGATGAATAGGAGTTTCTGACGAAAGGAAAAAAAACATTGAATTTTTATTTTATTGGGTAGTTTCAGTGATGAGTCATCTATGGATGGAAATTTAACAAATAATTTTGATGTAGTAATATGATATTAATCATATGACTAATAATCTCAATTTATTTACAGGTCCTAGGGAGAAATTTTATACTATTTGTTATAATTCTTCATGAAGAGAACATACAAACTGCACCAATAGTGTTTTTCTTGCTCCTGACGTGGAGTTTGATAGAGGTTGTTAGGTAAGTATCCCACTTTGCTATTTTTGATGGTTCAGTTCAGAGCATGATAATGATGTTAGCAGATTTCTAAAGGTTTATCTGAATCAGGTAAACTTGGTACCTTTGGCTCACAGATTATTGAGATATATACAGTAGTATTCAATCAACATTTAGGCCTTCTTTTTTTCCGGTCAGCTAAAGCAGTCCTTCATTTACAGTTTATTTGATTTGTGTTGGAATCTTTGATGTTTTTTTGTTGTTATATGAATGATGTTAATGAAAAGATAAAAATTTGCCCAATTGAAAGTGCAATTTTGTAAATGGTATATGAATAGGATATTGTTGCTTTCTTTTTGTATATATTATTAATTTTGTCTCCTATCCATATAATCAAAACTTAGCTGTGATATTCTATTTTTTCCCAGATATCCATTTTACATGTTAGCAGTTCTAAATCAAAAAGTTTACATAGTCACCTGGTTGAGGTATACAATGTGGATGCCACTTTATCCTCTTGGTATATTTCTAGAAGGTAATCTCTTACTAAGCTCTCAATATTAGTGTGATTTCTTATGCAAAAACAGAGGAAAGAATATTAAAAATTACAGATCAAATATTGGGCAGTTTTCCACTGCTCCAGGTCTCATACTTCCTTATCAATTCCCTAAATAAGTTATACTAATTATCTGAATTTTGAATTTTCTCACAACAATACAAATAGGAATAAAATTCTAAAAAGACAACAGAACACAGTTTTTAGCTCACCTGAGCTGAAGGCTCAAGTGAGCTTTTCTGATCACATTTTGTCCGTAGTCCGTCCGTCCGTCCGTCTGTAAACTTTTCACATTTTCAACTTCTTCTCAAGAACCACTAGGCCAATTTTAACCAAACTTGGTACAAAGCATCCTTGGGGGATGGGGAGTTTAAATTGTTAAAATAAAGGACCAGGTCCCCTTCCAAGGGGAGATAATCAAGAAAAGACAAAAATAGGGTGGGATCATTAAAAAATCTTCTCAAGAACCACTGGGCCAGGAAAGCTGAAACTTATGTGGAAGCATCCTGGGGTAGTGTAGGTACATGTATTAAATTGTTAAAATCATGACCCCCGGGGGTAGGGCGGGGCCACAATAGGAAATCCAAGTTTTACATAGAAATATATAGGAAAAATCTTTAAAAATCTTATTTAAGAACCAGTGGGCCAGTAAAGCTGAAAATAATATGGAAGCATCCTGGGGTAGAGAAGATACTAAATTGTAAAAATCATGACCCCCGGGGGTAGGGCAGGGCCACAATAGGAAATTCATGTTTTACATAGAAATATATAGGAAAAATCTTTTGAAAATCTTCTTCTCAAGAACCAGTGGGCCAGAAAAGCTGAAACTTATGTGGAAGCATCCTGGGGTAATGAAGAATCTAAATTGAAAAAATTATTATCCCTGGGGGTAGGGGCGGGGCCACAATAGGAAATCCAAGTTTTACATAGAAATAATAAGAAAAATCTTTAAGAATCTTCTTCTCAAGAACTATTTGGCCAGAAAAGCTGAAACTTATGTGAAAGCATCTAGGGGTAGTGTAGAATCTTAATTGTTAAAATCCTGACCCCCCGGGGTAGGACGGGGCCACAGTAGGAAATCCAAGTTTTACATAGAAATACATAGGAATAATCTTTAAAAATCTTCTTAAGAACCAGTGGGCGAGGATAGCTGAAACATATGTGAAATCATCCTGGGGTAGTGTAGATTTTACTTATTTGATTAAATTTATTGCCTGGCCATGAACATTCTGGACAACCCTTGTAGTTCATCATGTATAAAAAAAAAATAATAAAAAAACAAAAAAACTAAAAAAAAGAACATGCTATGAGTTTCATGATTGCAAGATTTCAAAGCTATTTACACAAAAGGTTTTCTCTTAATAAGTATTCTTTTGAATAAATTACCCCACAACCATTAATTTCAATGTCTACAATGATATAAATTCTTTAAAGTGTCATTACTTATTTGTATCCAAAAAAAAGAAGCAGTATGCTGACATATCCTAGAAAAGTGATCTTTATTAAAGTAATACTACATTAATGCCTTTACAGGTGCTGTAGTGATTTTATCCATTCCATTATATGAACTATCAGAGAGGTTCTGTCTGTTTCTACCTAACAGTGTCAACATGGCATTTTATTTCCCATGGTTTCTGTACGCATATCCACCAGTTCTTCTATTAGGTAAGACTTTGGTTCTCTCCTGTAAAACACTGTATAAACGCAGAATACCTTATTAAGTCCGTTTTCTACAGTTAACTGATTAAATGTGATTGATGATTGAAAGCCAAATATGATTTATAATTGTAGTTTGTAAAGGCTAGTCATGATAAATTATTAAACAGTTCTTCATCCACAAAATGAAATCCCCTCAAACCAGTATTTTTTACTCATATCACAGAAATTCAACTGCAGGAAAATATGTGATTTTACAGAATTAATGCTTCATGATTTAATGCTTCTATTTTTCAGCTGGATATTACATGCTCAAGTACATGCACAGCCAAAGAAAGAAAGTGTTAGGTGCCACATCAACTTCAAAATCCAAAAAGACATCATGAATCAATGTCCCCTGAACAGCAATCACTCTGTCTCATTTCTTAAGCTTTAATTTTTTAAAATTCTGTTTGGTTCCATGAAGATTGGTTATAATAATTAACATAAATAGGAAATCCGAATAATATGAGTACTGTAGGTCACTTAATTTTTGCGACACCTTATTTTTCGCGAGATAGTCATTGACTCTTACCGAGACAAAATTTTCACGAATTGTGGTCATTGCTCTATATATTTTTTGGAATTCTATTATACGCAAGAATGAAATTTTTGCGAGCATACCATCTAGCGTAATTACGCGAAAATAAAGTTCTCACAAATAAAAAGTGATTTATAGTATTTTTATTCCTCTTTTAATACTGATGAATTTTACAATATTTTCTATTACACACAGTATGTAAGTCATGAGCTGTTTCATTTACTGAAGTATTACAAGTTTAGAGTAAATGTTGTGATGTTTGTGCATTGTCTTATAAAATAAGCAATTGGTATGCTGGATATAAGTTTTTTTTAATTTTGTATTTGTAAATTAGTAAGAATAAAAAAAAAATCTGGTCATTACATGACATGTTTTAGTAGAGCTTGGTCTTGATTTTTTTTTCAAAGTTTTAAACTGAGATATCATTAAAACATTTATAAAAGCTGTCTAGTTACAACTTTTATCATATATGCGTTTGAAGTGACATCTAATGCCCTGTTCACACGACAAGTTTAATTCGCAGTAAATTAATGCGAAGTAAACTAATGCGAATCAAACTAATGCGAATTAAATTGCGTTCACACGACAGCTAATGCGAAGTAAACTAATGCGAATTAAAATTTTACTTCGACAGTCAGGCGTCAGTAAGGCTATTATGACGTCATTTGCAAATCACGTACGTCACCTTATGCAGAAGCAGATGCATTTGACATAATGTCACAGTGTCTGTACACATATTTTAGTGATTAACACAATTTTTCATAGTTTTTCACTCAAAAATAGCACAAGTACTTGAAGCCGACCACCGACATGACGCATCGACTTAATTGTGCCATTACGCATGCCCCAAAATTTAATTCGAATTAGCTTCGCTTAGCGTTCACGGAGATAATGCGAAGTAATTTAATGCGCAGTAAACTAATTTGAATTAAACTAATTCGCATTAAATTCTCCGTGTGAACGCTAAGCGAAGCTAATTCGCAGTAAACTTACGTTTAATTCGAATTAAACTCTCCGTGTGAACAGGGCATGAGTACCATGGATGTGTTGAATTTAGTTGGAAGTTTCAACATTATGTTACCTCCAGTATCTAGAATTCTTGTACATCTGGTTTCTACCAACTTTGACCGTTCACGGTAGCCTAGTGGTAGAGCGTTCGCTCCGTGATCGGGAGGCCCGGGTTCGATTCTCAATCGCGGCGCCGCGTCAAACCTAAGACGTAAAAATAGGTAGTGACTGTTCCTTCGCCAAGCGCTCGGCATCAGAAGTGAAAGTCACGGGTCTTTCGGATATGACCTTATAAACGTAGGTCCCGTGTCACGGTAAGCGCTGGCACAATAAAGAATCCTAACTGCTCAATGGCCCTGAGTGCCGAGTATAGGTCTAAATTTGAAGCCCTTCACCGGCATACGGTGACGTCTCCATATGAGTGAAAAATTCTCGAGAGGGACGTTAAACTATATACAATCGATCAATCAATCTACCAACTTTGAGATAACCAGATTTGAGTGTACCAGGTACTTAAATCTGGTTATCTCAAAGTTGGTAGATTGATTGATTGATTGATTGATTGTATATAGTTTAACGTCCCTCTCGAGAATTTTTCACTCATATGGAGACGTCACCGTATGCCGGTGAAGGGCTTCAAATTTAGGTACTCGAAAAAAGAAGACCCAATTAATGAAATAAATCAGACTAATAACCCAGTATGGGATGTAAAATTCACTGTAAAAAAATAACTAGTTAATGTCACGAAGAAAACTAGTAGATTCACTGTCCATACAATCACTACCTTAATAGTAGTTTTACTAATCTCAGCGAGATGGGTAGAGACTGAAAATTTGGACTGACGTCTACTTATGAGTAACTTTCACTAGGTATCTAAGTATCTATACGACCCCCGCTCCACAACTCACTATCTTAACCAGTAAACTAAAAGTTTACTAATCACGACCAATGCTTTACGAAACACACTATTTAAATTCACTAGGTTTTTCTCTCAGTGTTTACATAGAGGAAGAAACCTACTAAAATATGAAAGAAGGGCAGTAATAAATCAAGTGTCAGAGTGTTAAAGCTAAGCCCATGAGTTTCTTTTTAACAATCGCAAACACTATGCAATAAATTTACTGAATAATAAGCTAAAGTAAATAATGAGTCGGTGTATAATTTATATTTTGGTTTTTGCATTCATATTTTGTACATCTTGATTGATTTGCATCACATACCATGAAAGAGGGAATCTAGGAAACATGTTTGGTAAATTATATTTCCTAAAATGTTTTCCTTGTAAACAGAGTAAATCTTGGGAAAAATTTAAATATGTATAGAATGAACTTATAGACAGATTACAAATATTGAGAATACTACTAGCGTTGTCACATCGAGGTGATTTCTCTTCTTTTTCATGACTCTTGAAATTCTTTGGATGATTTTTGAAGTATGTACTGTGTTGATTATTACTTGGAAGCCATTGACTTTTAGAAGGAATAATAATAAAAAGAGAAAGAAATGTGTATATGCCAATGCATAAAGGGACGACCATTTGATTTTGAGGGGGGAGGGGGGGGGGGGGCTGGCAGATAATGTTTAAAATAAATAATCTGTCCTCGACTGGACAAGAAATAAATAATCCATCCCTGAGCAGTGCTCCCACGACCCACGATTATTAGACTTTGATATTTTGTTTTGCTTGTCAGATTTTTTCAGTGAAAAGGAAAAGAAATAATGTCTTTGATCTTGTTGGAAATAAAAAAATCTGCCCTTCACCGACATGAGGAGTTGCGGATAAGAGGTGGTTATCCCAAAGCGTAAAAGACGGACTGACATCCCGATCAGTATATTATACCCTCCCACTTTTCAAGCGGTGGTATAAGGATAATCGCTTAGAACAAAAATAACACTCTATGCCATTTTTAAATAAAATGCTTTCTTTGGTTGTTGATATGCCTCAGTCGTTACAGAACAATCCGCATTTTATTGTTTATAATCAATAAATATTCAGTATTGTATAATATACATTTATTGACTGAGTTCGAGGGCAACATACCTTTCACTTTATTTTTTAACATACATGTATTTTGTGCTGTCTTCCATGTTGTAACATCAGGTCCGTCAATTTAAAACAACTACGATTGAAAATGAGATTAAGCTCTATCCATTCTGTGACGTAAGCGGTCCAACATCTTATCGACCGGTCCACATCGAATTTTTATGCCCGCACAGCAAAAAATGATAAATGTTAGACTTTTTTCGTATAGATTTGAATAGGAACAAATTTTCAAGGGTATAACAATTTTAAATGTACGCCAGTCTATGTTCAATCGATAGAAGAACCCATGAGCATATATGTCCGCCACATTTATAACTGGAGACCGCCAGATATTTCCTTTTCTTAAAGACACCTACCGGCTTCCGTAGTTTGCAGATTCTGCAATTTCAACAAGTCTGTTAACTGTTTTTTTCTTTTTCATGCTTATTTGTTTTTTTATTATTAACTTAAAAATACAAAGTAACATGTGTAATTGTGCATCACGATGAATATGAATGTTACAACACAAAAGAACACGAACATATGTACATGTACAATAATTAAAAAAAATCTGCTCTTAATACCAGTTGATAATGATATGATTTTTAAGTTAACTACTAGTGAATAAGGCAATGAGGTATTTTATGAAATACTATGGAAGAAATACAATTATATCATATCACAAGATGAGGTTTTTCAACCTAAGTACGCAAAAGAAAAGTAGCTATTGCACTTCTTTGACTTAGTATAGTAATGAAACACGCACAAAATGGTCTTAAAGTTGAACAAGTGCGCTTCTATCACTACCATCATACTATCTGGGAAGATCGCTCAGGCGTACTACCAGAACTTCTAATCGAAAAGGATTCATCCAGAAAAAAATGGGACGAGCCGAATTCTCTTCCTTTTCGTAATAACACAGACCCGGTTTCTGTACCGTCATGTTTCAGTTCCGTAATTATACTTTTGGCTCTGTACCCATTCATCACTGCTAATGCTGCTGTTGTTAAAGCAATGAACCAGCTAGTCACCTGAAAAATAATTTTAAAAAGTTTAAGTCACTACTACGTCTACAAAAATATATAAAAGAGACCGCGGCATTTAATATTTGCAATTATTATAAACATAACATATATAACTTTGCTACTTTGTAGCATGGACAGATTCTTTTTTTTAGTTTTGGCGATACCATACCACTCTACCATTGTGATATGAAACATAGTTTTGTCAGTCTAGTTTTGCCCCCCCCCCCCCTTCCCCCGATACACCGTTATTTTAATGTCCATCACTTTTTTCCCCAAGAAACTACTGAGTATGCTACCTGGTAACAATGTTCATGTCTTTTTTCAATGGCACTTCTTTCGGTTATAAAATTTTTAACCCATAGTTCACCTGATGTCATTATATTATGGTTGAAAAAAAATACCGAAACAGGTACAAGTACCCATGTTTTTATTGTCAGTTTTGTCACTTTCAATTTATGATATAAATGTATCAATGTTGAATAAATGTATGGTCGTTTTTAATTGGAGAAATCCTCTTATCTAGGGGGGGGGGGGGGGGGGGGGTGTTCGAGTTTTTTAAAATTTATTTCTTTTCTATTAACCCCCACCCTTTTCCCCCAAAATCATTAGTAATAATTATTCTGCTTGTAAAATAAGGAAGGGCATCAATATTATACTGATTACAAAGAAAGAAAAAGTCCAAAAGAAGACGTTTGTGAAATAGTAATTGCTTTAATACTTCTATGTATATTCAAGTTTTAATAAAATCAAAGCAATAAAACGTACACTGGCAAGCTTCCTTCTCTATAACAGTATCTTAGGAACCCAAACTGTAATCACGATAAACAAATAATGAAAAGATCTCGATGATATTTTACCTTCCTGTTGACGTGACATTGTCTTAATTAAGAAGCCAGCTTCTATACTATCACCAACGAGTAAAAAATTAATGAATATGTCACCCTTCCAGACTGTGAGGACATTGATTTTTACTTTAATTAAAAGAAGTCAAGCAAAACAATCATACTTCATACTCTCTTAGGAAAAACACCTGTATCCTGTTTTTCAATTAAAAAAAAATAATTTTACATTTAACATTAATCCGGAAGACATGCTCCTATGGAAGAAACTGAATAAAACAACCTTATGGGAATGGATAAAAACCTAGAAGACCTATGCAAATGTAGATCAAATCAAACCATATAGGTGCAGGAGAAGCATCACTGATACGTACCTCTGTAATTTTCATGTACCTATAGAAGTCTTCCTTTCCTTTCAGCGTTGTCCATTGCATGTCCTCCAATTCTGAACAACTAATATTGATTAAGTGTTAATCTTTATTTTGCATTATCAAATTCATTGGGTGCTACACCTATTATGGTACCAATCCATCTAGCATCGGGGTGAGGGGGGGGGGTGTCTTAATTTAGTTATGTTATTAAATGTAGATAGAAAGCCCCCCCCCCCCCTTCCGCTGCACGTTTCGTTGCAGTAAAAAAATATATAAAATAAAAATAATACGACTTTCGTGGGTTTTTTTTCAGGTAAGTTGAATACATGTATTTTTTCTGGCTGGTCCCCACTTTCAAAACCAATGATACGTCACTGGCACCCAACCACCCACACCGTTTTAGGGGGTGGGGTGGGGGGGGGAATGCACACTTCTTAACATTCCAAGTGTTTCATTATCATGTAAATACAGAAATAAAATGTTGAAGAACTTTATATACTAGCACTTTTCCTATACCTGTCATATTATTATTGTTCATCTAACCGTAAAACCATTACATTCCAGATAGTATTTTATTTGAGTTGTGTATTGCAAATTCTTTCTGACAAAATGCATCACCCACAACCCATCCATGTCATTTTTGATTTCATCTTTGTAGGAATGTTTTAGATTAGGACCTTTGCAGACGCCCGACGACCAGACCTTGAAACATGCCAGATCTGTACTGTATACCATAACAGAAAATGTAGCAACCACTGCAACTTGTATTGCACAATATCTTTACAAATTGATGACTATATATATGCATAGTGAATTTAGGGTCATGACTTTATAATATTTATCAGAGAAATTGGGGGGGGGGGGGGGTGAAGGGGCTTCAAATTCTTCCTAATGAAAAGAAATCTATTTCACACGATTTCATTCAGGCTTCTAAGTACTTTTTCATTATAAGACATGATAGTTGATGTTTATTTGAATTGCAAATTACTTTCTCGTGTCATCCTTCATTTCAAACAAATTAAATTACACTTCAAAGGTTAATTCTTTTCGTTTACCTGTATGGTACCTGAGACTGTAGATTTGTACAGAATTGATTTAATCCCGTGGTAAGCATCCCGCTGGAGACTAGTAACGCTAGACTTATACAACCATGAAGTATGCATCCGAACAAAAGGGCAGGTAAAGACTGTCTACAAATCAAAGATTGTCAAAGATCAGGCAAAAATAATGAACCATAGTAAAAGCCATTAAATTAAAGCATGCCACTGCATGCATGTTTATATAAACAACTTTGGCCCTTTTCACAGTATTAAATAAACCTTTAATGCTGGCCATCACCCAATATTTAAGGTTTATACAGTTATAAACCCTTAATAATTTTAAACAGTATATATATTTTATCGAACAGATGAACATGCATATACTACAGAAACCGAGGACTTGTTTAATTAAGCACAGGTGATAAATTAAACCCATAGTGACCTTTTCACAGGTAAATAAAACATGCATAACGATTTACATTTTACCGTCGAGCTCCTCCATTTGTAAATAAAACCAAATCCAAATAAAAGCATGAATGGTAGCCACTACGGGGGCATAAGTAGCCACATGACACTGGATGGGTTTGCCCCATGTAGATCCACTCCAATCTAAGACAACAGTACTGTTATCGTTCGTGTTCACTGTCACTGACAAGTCGGCATGGAGTATACACTCGAAATTGAAGAAGTTAAAAGTCCAACCGCTTGGAATACAGGCACATAATGAGAGAATGAACACTATTCCATTCACAAAGATCTGAGAAAACCTAAATTTATGCCTCCTTGGTAGCTTATCCAGCATTTTGGCGGCTCAGCTGTGTCACCGGCACATGGTGCGTTCTGTTTGGTGAATGGCAAGGTCGCGCAGCTGATCAAAACGTCGTCGATTATTTTGCTCATTGACCTTTACTTTTTTAAAAGGGTGTTGACGATATTTAAATTTATGTGCTTATAACTACAGGCATTTGATCTTCAGTTTAACGATATGGATGTGATGCATTTAATAGCTGCATGTAATAAAATACATGGTGTACTTTTTAAAAAATTGACGAAGTCGTGCTACAAAAAAGTCGAGGTTGAAGCATTTTGATAAATGAAATGATGTTGACTTGGTCGTGCATGATTCAAAAGCCTGTAAAACACAGAATTGTTTTGAACACAATTTTAAATGAAGCGTAAAGTTATTTTAAACATTTATATGAATTTTAAATATGGTAGTAAAATGTCAACACTGGCAATCACGGGCCTAGCCTCTATATCTTGAAAATCATCCTTTTAGTTTACTTTACATAATTACAATATCACACTCGCAGGTGCGTAGCATCGTTTTTGAAAGTGAGGGGGGGGGGGGGGCAGCCAGAGAAAATGTTTTTTTTACTTACCTGAAAAAGTTGACAAGCAATAAAAAAAAAAGGGAAAAAGTTGCCCAAAGTCGAAAATCCTATTTCGTTGGGGGGGAGGGTAAACTTTTTTCTCAGTGTCAACTACTTTCAGTACCCATTAAAAAGGGGGGGGGGGGGGCAACCAGGCTTTCTATTAACATTTCCTATAGTATCAATAAGGTTGGGAAAAAGGGGGGGGGGCAGCCCCCCCCCCCCCTGTTGCTACTCCCCTGTACTCCTATTTCAAATATCTGAAGTGCAATATTCATTTTACTACATAGAATGCTATCGCCCATAATTTTGTGTGACTACATATACCCCCTGTCAAATCATCAGGGTATGGAAAGATGGTGAAGAAAAATTTAATCTAACTAGTGCTAATTGTAACGGGGACCGTTACAGATGTTCCCCAAACGCTCCAAAACTCCCTTTCATAGTCATATTCCCTGTAAGCGTAATTAAATAAGACAAACTCTATGTATTTGATACTTTAACAACGTTTAACCAGAAGTGTACCATGTTCATTCAAATTTTATCATTGCACACTTGCACATGTGAATGCATGTGCGTATTGACAATATCATATTCTCTACACAATCTGTGAATTTTAATATGCTAAATATTAAAGTATTCAATCCAAAAGTATTAAAAAAAAACGCTCATTCAAGTGTATTTTTGATTTTACCCATTTCACATGCACGCACGTGCATACATGAGCATGATGACCATACCTTCTTGTAAAAGTCTATTACATCTATCTATGTTCTAAATCTCATTCCGTTTGGTTGAAAACCAATTGAGTTACAGCTGTTTAAAGTTTCAGGAAATCAGATTGCAGGGCACGTTCAAGCACATGTATGCATGTGCATGGTGACCAAACCATCTTGTAGAAGTCCACTATATATATCTATGTTCCAAATCCCACCTTGTTTGGTTGAAAACCAAGGGAGTTATAGCTGTTTAAAGTTTCAGCCAATCAGAATGCAGCGCACGTAC